GTTCACACAACGTAACATATTTGATGACTGTCCAAGTAACCATTTTTTGCACTCAAAAGTATATGAAACCTTTGGTTCAAAGTGTTGAAAGTATTGAAATGTGGTGTAAGGTGTAAGATGACGGTTAGATATTTATAGAAAAAAATAATAAATTTTTGTAAAATAAAAATTTAATAATTTTTATTAAGTTAATTAATCTGGACCGTTTTGGATTTGAAAAAGATTGAAATCTAACAGCGATCTACTTCCCGAACCTCAACCCTGACGATTTTCTTATTTACGTATTTGGGTGCGCATTCCATGTGCCAAGTTGCGCCGCTGCAATGTACCAACATGGGTCCTCAAATAAGGATGTGTATATTTTGTCGATCATGATTCTCCTTCACACAAGTTCTCTTAGAGTCCTTGCATGCAATCTCTTTACCACACATTTGCGGGTTGTCACTTTAATGAGACAGTCTTCCCACCATTAGGGGTAGATAAGAACGTTAACGTTCCTGTAGAACAACGTGAATTTGCGTAGACGTTGCCCACTATGTCTCATATCGATCCCCATACCGCACAAGTGTGATAAGCAAGTGCGATGAATTATAGATTTCAGAATGTTGCTCCAGGCGCATTCCTCTGATCTAACTAAAGTGACGAGATCATATACCAGCTGTAAACGTGCCTGCAAGGGTAGGCGTACTTAACGGACGTCGAGTCAACATCCCTAGATGGTATGCCACCCATGTTGAATTGTTTGGACGCCCCTGTTGGATGGTCCGGTACACCGGCGGATAGCCAATCAATCTATCTTGGCCTAAAGCATGACATATCACTCGGTTCGTAGGATTCACTTCCCTGGAAGAGGGAGACACGGCACAACAATGAATCTAAACTCAATCGCTGTCTCAAATCATTTCCATTTCATGAGATTAATTTGGATTACTCCTGAGACTTGAAGTTCTTGGTCCAGTATACTAGTTTGGATGAGAAAATGGAATTGAAAAGAGATGCCATCGATGATGCTTTCACTTATAAGGTAGCTACCAACATAAATGAAAAGCGACGATATTGAATCGTGTTCCGTTGATTAAGTGACAACGTAAAACTGATTAGACAACTAAAATTACAATCCAGGTCAAATTCCTTACCAAAGTGTGTTTTGGACATGTCGTTCCTACACTGCCCAAGGTAACCCTATTGTGTTACAAGTGGGAAGGGAAGTGTTATGAGATGAATGAAATAGTGCGATATGATGCACGCCTGACAATGCAAGGTTTCTCTCAAACGTCCTGTGATTGATCGCGTCATGATGAAATGTGGTTAGTGTTTTCTCCATGGGGATATAAGTACGAAGATTTACATATAAGTTCTTGAATAATTACATGGACTGGTTCAAATAGTTCCAAACCACGGAACACCCTCTTAACTTGTTTAAGGCGTTGACTTACAATCCAACATATGTGGTATATCCGTCTAATTGATTATTTGATCAGTCAGGGATGAATTATTTCCTTGCATGTTAAACTATGAAGTCTTATTCCGAATTGCGAAAGTTATAGTTTATGTCGTTAATACAAATCTCACTAAGACTCCGGAAGAGCTTGAGAAAACTACCTTGCACTTGAAGATGAAATTTAAGATGAAGAATCTTGGGAAAACTCGTTTATGCCTTGACCTAAAGTTAAAGCATTGTTCTGAGAATATTTTAGTCTACCAATCGAACTACACCCGGAAGGTGTCACCATTGAGTACACTCACGATCGTCCATAAGTTATATACAAATGAGACCCTTGAAAAGGTTATGGAATCCAAAATTCCATATCTAAGTTCAACTTTGCACTTCGTTGTACTTAGCTCATTGTGTTTAGACAGGACATCTCATTTGCTGTTGATCTTGGTAAAGATGCAGCACCATGCCTACACGCAACTACTGAATTGTTATTAAAGATGTAAACTTCAGGTACCACGAGGGCAAATCCCAACGCATCTTGAGCGGATCTAACCCCCCTGATCCTCGAAATGATGCTTGCCTTATTGTTATACTGACGCATATTACTTATCAAACCCACACAAGGCAAAATCCCCGAATGGTTATATCTTTACCATTAGGGATATCTCAATATCTTGGAGGTCCACGATATGACCTTAGTTGCGAAATCTTCAAATCATTCCAAGAATCACCTTACTTCAGTACGCCACAAGTGAGACATGGTTAGGAGTTCTTGTTGAGCATATTCGAAGTACTTGTTGTTTTTCATCCATCGTTGAGTCCCAACGACGATCCATGAAGATTATGCCGCATGTATCAACTCGACCAAGCCATGATACATCAACGAAGTCAACACTAAGATATATTGCATCTACATTTACATCAACAAAGCATCAGGAGATTGAAGTCATGCAAGCCGATCCCAGACAACCTTGCCGACCTCTACACGACATCACTGCTGAAGTCAACCTTCCACAAGCTTGTTCGAGGAATTGGTATGCCTAATTATTCATATGCAATGCTTGAAGTTCTTATTTGGAAGTTATGTCAAACTCGGGGGAGTATCCAGAACTCACTTGATCTTAATGTACTCTTTTTCCCTATGATTAGGAGCATTTTTCCCATTGGGTTTTTGCTACCTAACTAGGTTTTAATGAGACACCCATCCTGGGTTGATTATACCCTTGTGAGCTATTATACTTGCATCCAAAAGACGTATAGTTTTAACTTAATGCAACTTCTCAATTTTCTTCTTAGACTATGGGTTTTTCCCTACCTTGGGTTTTACCATAGCGAGGTTTTGCGAGTTTTACTTTTTATGTATTCTTCCTTTGATCTGAGACTTGTATTCGCTTATTGTGTCAACGACTTCATCAACTGTACTTGCTTCATCACTGAAGACCTGATGCGCCATTTACTTGAGTATTTACACACTCAAACGGGAGTGTTGCAGTCCTATTAGATTAGGAATATGATTGTTTAAACCCTAGTAGATATAGGAATATCTCTTTATATTCCTATTAGGAATTGATTACCTATTAAGAGTTGTCATCCTAAAAGGGTATGGAATTAACCTTCCCTACTACTATAAATAAAGGTATAATGGGGTGGAATAGGACACACACACAGTTACACATCTCTCTCTTCTCTCTCTATGCCGCACCCACTCTTTTTCTGGCCATCATCATTGTTCAGTAAATTATGCCTACAACATTTTCAATATTTTTGGGGTCAAATTATGTTTTTCATTTCCATTATTTATTGATTTAAAATATATTTTCCTTAATTGGTAACGGATCGGGTCATATTACCTGATAATATTAATAGTTTGATTTCGGGTCGAGTCATATTACCCATTTACTTTAACGTGTGTTTCATGACACGAACAGTTATAATATCGGGTATATCATGAAAACAACATAGACACAAAAAACAAGACACGAATACCAAGTAACTACATGGCAGCTACTCGTTGGGTTGTAGAATGTCATCATTCTTAGTCGCGAAAACGTTTGTAAAGTTGTTGATTGTTCAACTTTTGCTACTGCCATTGCCAGATGGCACTATCGCATAGGACCAAAGGTTGTGGTGACTTGTTAGCCTTATAGGGTTATATAATTAAAATACAAACGAATGAGTGACTAACTTGATTCTAATGGCGGCCATGGAAGTCGAACACAAAAGTAGCAGAGCATGGCAACATCAAGATCTTCTATAAATTCATAGCCAAATACAACTACTCTATAGGAAGCATTATGTTGTGTGTTCTAAGGCTTATAGGGACCGTTGTTTTATATATGCTAAAAGCTAGGGTTTCCATCCATAAAGGAAACCTAAATTTTACTTTCTTAGCCTCCAAGTCAAATATCATAATTATATTCAATTAAGGATTTCATCAATCCTATTTCCAATATAAGACACCTTATATATGATTGATATTTTTAAAAGATCAAATCACAATTAATATTATTCTTCAATATTACATTTCTATTACATATAATAGACCACTTAAATATTGATTTATATTGGATAAATCCAACATGGCCATCATAGAACTTTTCTATCCAACTGAGCTCAAATTCAACAAAACCCGAAGTAAATAACTGTCGCGTAAACCCTAAGCAAATCCCTATAACGAACTACCTATCACTATCACGATTCACGAACCACGTGTCACTTCGAACCCACCAAAAGCTCCTTACGAATTTTCAGATAGTTTAGTTCTCTCTGTTTAACTAGGAACAAACTACATGCAATGTAAGAAAATAATTATCATTAGCTCATCATGTGACATCACGTATCACGTATTACTTCGAACCCACCAAAAGCTCCTTACAAATATTCATATATTTTGGTTCTCTCTCGTAAAAACTACATGCAATATATGAAAATAATTAGTTCATCATTAGCTCATCACGTATCATTTCTTATCATGTATCATTAGCTCATTATGAGATTTAACTTATTCCCACATTTTGATGTATATAATCTATTTTACATAAAAAATTAATTTTATGTAGTATTTTTTTGGTATAGCTGTATATATTGTTGAATACACTCTATGTACATTTTATTATTATATGACTTATATACCTTAAAATGAAATGACTAATTAATCCATGTAAGATTTTAAATTATATTTTATAGATAGCAGAAGATGCAGAAAAGCATTAGTAGTAGAACCACTACAACAAAAAGGGGCTAAGAACACAATTGATTTGTGCTCTTTACATTTTCATTCAACACAAAACCATATTTGTGCTTTTTAAATGTCATTGAGCACAAAACTAACTCAAATATGCCCTCTGAACAAAAAGACACCTCGAAAAAGAAAAACAGGAGAGTGTATTTGTGCCTACTAAAATGAGCTTGCATATGTCATTTTAATGTCAGAAATGAAATATTTTTTTATTAATTTACAATGACACAATAAAGTTTTCGTGCCCTCTAATTTAATATATTTAAATTAGAAAGTAAAGTTTTGTGTCCTTTACATTTACTACACGCCTCACTCTCTCTCCCTCCCTCCTCAATTCCTCCGCCTCTCCTTTATTTGCTTTCTCTCTGTCTTAAACTCTCCTTGTTCTCAGTTTCCAAAAAAAATAAACTTTCCTTAGTTCTCAGTCATCTTCCTCCCTCCCACATCCTCTCTCCCTCTTCTCTTTCATGCAACAGCGCCGCCGTCCACCGATCACCAATGGCCGTCAAATTATGCCTCCAGAATCCTCTTCCCATCCTCTTCTGAACCCCCCCATTTAGTTTCTACAAATTCGTAGCCGAATTTCCTCAATTTCAAATCTAAGAAACGATTCTTACCGCAGATTTTCCGGCCAATTTCTGACCAAGTCTTCCGGAATTGGACCTCGACTGAAGAGGTAAAAATGATCCTTTCATCGTGGGCTGTCCTCCAGTGTAAGTGATTTTTCAAAATAAAAACTTTCAGTTTTGTGATTGATGAGTTTTCAAAATAATTGTCTAATTAAGTTAATCTAAAGTACTGGCATGTTTGCATTAATTTAGGGCTATATGAGTTTTTAGGAAGCACTTAACTATAATTGAGTTTTAAATTGATTTTGAATCTACGAAACCAGTGGGAGCCATTGAGTTTTTTGTTTGTTCTTTCAGTTTTAAATGTAATAAGGATTTTACAATTATGGACGTGCGTGTTTGTTCGTATCTAGCTCTGGACGAAATGGAGTTTTAAAATATCACCGCATTGGAAATCAAGAAAGAAATTATCCAAAGGTTCCGTTTGAGAAGGCTTCCCTCGTGCTGAGTGAATGTTATTCCTTGTATTATTTTTATTCATCCTCTCTCCTGTTCTGCCATTGAGAAACAAATATTTATATTATATCTTTAATTCACGGTAGGAGTTAGGAAAATGCAATAAGATTTCGCTGGAGGATCTCTTTCACATTTTAGTATCCCCCTATTCCTCTCTACTTCTCTTCTCCCTCTCTAAATGTTTTCTTCTACCATATAAGTATCGAGTAAAATTGCTTCTCTCAGCTCTCTGAGGAAAGTTAATGTGTTAATTTTCTCTTTTCCACAACCCATAAAATTTGTTCCTTTTCTGCTTTTTTGGTATGCAGCTGGAGTGCTACAACTCATTTCTACAGGTTTTTTTTGGCCAATATTATGATTGGATATAAAACTATTAGAAGTTGTTTCAAGATACAAGACTTATGTTGATGTTTCCCATCTAAGACATGTGGTGCCCCTATCAGAGGGTCCGTATTTGTGGTGGAATGATGCTGCTCAAGCAGCCCTGTAGCAGAAGAAAGTGTGTTAACACATATTATACGCTACACTTGATAGATAAAAGTGTATCTATATACTCTGTTATGGTCTATGCTTGTATGCCTGTTTACGGCCTGGTATTCAAGGCTTTTTTGTCAGCTTCTTATTTTTACAATATTCCTTTTAATTTTATAAATAAAAATACTGGAATTGAGTTGAAGGTTGTATTTACTTTTCAAATATTTGGTGAAACTTCTCACTGCATGATGTTGGATGTATTTTACAAATCGATGTACTTTTATGAATTTCCCATGTTGGTTCTGACTTCACACTTGTTTTCTTGAATTAGTTGCCGATCCTCTTGGGACCTCATTCGAGATCTTTGTCAGCTTTGTTGCCGTTACATTCAGTTGTACGCTAATTCACTACAACACTTGTCAATTATTAATAATGCAGAAATTAGAGAAATTGAGGAAGATCTGGATTCTAACGTAATTCTTTTATGGAGGTAAATGTTTTATCGACCTTTTGACTTCATTGCTATTTATTAAAATTGATTGTAGGTTTTAGGGGATGCATAAATTCCATATTAACCTTGGCCTTACACCTCATAGTTGTTATTTTGGGTTCAAAGGACCACAGTTGAATTTGGATTGGATTTGGATTCTAGTGTATGGATTAGCAATTTAAACCCATTCGGTATGTTTCATATGGAATTTGCAAGGTGATTAGCTTTCATTCCCTAAAATTAGTTGGAATAAAATGTGATTGATGACATATGGAATTCTAGTGTATGGATTAGCAATTTAAACCCATTTGGTACATTGGACATTTAGTTGTACCAATAGAAAAATGTTCTCTCTTTTTATCGGAGAAAATGAAACTATTATTGTTATCAGATATGTGTAAAGCTATTGAATTCTCAATGTTGATTGGATGTTTGGGTAGTTAAACATCACTGGAAATATGTGATCCTTTCCCTTTTTCATTTTTCCTTTGGTTTGGATTTCAAGAAGGTGATTACATAATCCACCGAGTTGGGAAAAAGGGTAAAATCAGTTATGGGTGGCTATATGTAGGAATGCATGGATACATTGATAGGAAAATCTCATTATTTTGTTGGTCTTTTATCTTGAACACTTGTAAACATGTTCTTTATGAGGAATATTTATGTAGTTTCATTATAGACATTCCATTTCTACTATTGATTTGCTTTTTACAGCCGAGACTATCATCTTTGATTTTATGAAAATTTTAAATTTTTGGTTTTATTTCAAAATTTTACATTTCTATTTTTTTTTTTTAAATAGAACCTAATGGGCACAATAACAAAAATAGTGCAAACATGGATGGAGAAGGTCATCTGACAAGTTTATCAGAACATAGACACAAAAAGGCCTTTATTTGTGCCTGCCTCTTTGAGCACCAAACAGTCTATTGTGCCCTTTTAGCAATGGTGATGCCCATAGAGGGCACATATAGAAACTTAGTTGCTGCATTGTTGCTATTGGTCTTTGGGCACATATGTTGGTGTTCTTTGGCCTCAAAGGGCACATATAATTTATTGTGTGCAGTGCTCATATTTGTTGTAGTGAACTTGTTGAAAATTTTGAGTAGATATTTCATTGTCCCACATTGGTCACCACCAAAATGTTCCCTCACTTTACAAGGCTTTGTCCCTTATAGAAAGTGATTAAAGTGATGGACTTGTAACCAAGCCACGTCGAGCAACGCCCTGGACAACGTCGTTTCGACGTCTGGACCTAAGGCAACAGCCTTTAGGCTTGCTGTGCATGAAAATGACTAGGCCTCTGACTTGGGTTTAGGTTTTAGTTGGGCTTGCAGCCCATGCCCTCCTCTAGCAAAGCTTGCAGCTTTACTATGCTCGTTTTCAACCCGGGCCCACTAGCCACAAGCCTGATGCTTGTTGGGCCAGTCTCGTGCCCTTAGCTCGCCTATAGTAGCTTTTTGTGCTATTGGGCTAGCCTTGCCTTGGCCCATTACAGAAGCGAACACCAGCTCGGCTTCTTATACCTCCAACATACCCCATCCCATTGCCCACTGGCTTGCAGCCATGACCCGTGGTGCAAGGTCTGCAACTTGCTGATAGTGTTATGCCTCAAGATGTGCCACAGGTCACGGCTGCAAGCCGGCGGGAAAGTTAGTTGTCTGGTTGATGGTGCTATCAAGCACACTATCTTGCATGAGCGACACTATTTTACTAACTTTGTACCTAAAATGCACCTCTGACAACCCTCTCAAGTTCATCTAACTTGATTGAATGATATGAAAAGACCCCGTATAATGTTGCCCAATGGTACCGAATTAACCACTAAAAGGCCCTATATTCTCCTCGTTCTAGAAGAACATTGTTAAGCTTTAGAGATATTCAAGATAATAAAATATTATATTGAAACCATTGAGGAGAATGTTCTAAATTTCTTTGTATCACTTCTTACGAATATGGCAAAAAGTGTATTCACGAGAAGCTAGAACGTCTCCCAAGTGAGTTGTACATCACAACCATTTGAGCCATTGAGACCTGTCATGTGGTCGGCCGTGAGCCTGGGTTCTAGAGCACTTTGTTGCTTTGGCATGACCATATGGAACATCGTAGATGAGATATGATGTGCCGTATCCTCAAAGTATCACACAAGCATCATTTAACCTCTTATCCTGGGTATCTGTCTTGCAAATCATGCTACACGGGGAAGTTGAATACTTAACCCTCAGCTACAATGATCATTCACAACCCACCTAAGTTTCTTCAGATGATTCAAGGGGATATTTGTGGACCTATCCAACGTACATGTAGACTGATAGACTTATATTTATACAAGTTTTTGTCACTTTAGTACTTGGATTATGTATAGTTTTCATCCCTTAGTAGTTTACTTGTGGTTTTCTTATTTTGTAGGATTAGTTGCAAAGAAAAGGATTTTGAGGCTGAAAAAAGAAGTTTTGAGAGTTTAAAAATGGTACGTAAACATTCAAAGGAAGATCACAAGATATCAACGCAATGCCTAAGACATGGAAGCGACACAATTTGGAAAATCTGGGATAAGGGAGTTTCTGTCCAGCGACTTTGATGGGCTGCCAGTTATTCATCCAGAGGAAACTCATAGCATACCTATATGGATGCAAAGATATGGAAGTCTTCTTTCAAATGGAGTTGGAATCATATTAATCCGATATTCCTTCAATGAATTATGATTATCTTAGTGACTGCTATTTGGATTTCTAGGTTTGGTTAACTTTGCATTTCAAGTGATTTGAGCCAAATTCGTGCAGTTCATTTGAGTTTGAGATTTAAAGCCCAACAAGTAAATTAGTTTGACCAGTATGATAGAGAAATATGAGTTGCCTTTTTAGGCTCAATAATGCACTTAATCCTCATCAAAATACAAGTGGAGGGTGGAGATGAAAAGCAAAAAATAAAAAAATAAAAAAAAGATTGAATGGTTTGGTTCCAAGCGACTGTTGTTGCAAAGCAGGAGAATAAAGGGGAGAATGGCTGCAGACTTGAAGGGGCAGAAAAGAAAAAACACACAGAAGAGGGAGAGGAAGGCACGCAAGAGTTCGGCAGCTTGAGGCTTGAGGAGCGCAAAATTCTCCTTCGGTTCAAGGGTTTCTCATATTTTTCTTATCTTTAATTATGTTTTCCATGACTATGTGTTTCTAAATTCTTTTGTTAAGTCTACAATGTAGCCATAAGAAGAATATTTTGTTTTTTTAGCTATTTGATTATCCAAGACAATTTTCGTTATGTTGAATCTCAAATTTTGGGCTTAATTCGCTTGTTCTTTTGTTCTTGACTATTGGTCATCACTTGTATGAATTAATAAGTGTTTGATGCAGGTTCATAGGCATACACGTATGTTATGTTGAATCATGAATTTGAGATCACAATTTACTAGAAGTATACACCATGTTCTAGGTTTTGTGTGGTTGTATAAAAGTTTCCATTGTACTTAGGGTACTTCAAGTTGTGAAATCTAGGCATACACCATGCTAGGTTGCTTCTTAGAAGAAAATAATTTGATGCATATCATGATCGGATTATAGAGTTGGGAAACTTAATCATCAACATAAAAGTTGTTAATTGGATAGTTGATAGCTAAGAATCGGAATAGGATTGTTTATTTTCTTAAACTTTCAGCAATTTTATCTTTTAGTATTAATCTTCATAACCAATATTTCCTTTAATTTTCTTGCTCCATAATATTTTCAATTTCACTTGTGCGTTAAGTGGTTAGTTTTCGAATTAAATCACTGTTCCTTGTGGGATTCAACTCCGTACTTGCATTTCCATACTATCTATGAACCATGCACTTGCGGATATATGTGATTAGAATTAATCTATGTTAGGTTGCTCTAATTTATGCATCAAGACCATTTAGATACTTTATGGTGTTGGTTGATGCACGACACGTTAGTCACATGTTTGCTTACAATCCACACATAATGCTACCTTGTGAAACTCCTAGCTTAAATCATTAAGCTTAGGGCTCAACGGATTAAGTCGATTTGACTGGGTCATGCTAGAGAGCTCACATCACAGTGTTTTGACAATTATTACATGTCTATTGGATTGAAGTTGAACATCCAGTGCTCCATGTTCATATACCCAAAACGGCCTGGCAGAAGCTTTCATAAAGCGCCTTCAATCGATAACTCAGACTTTGGTTATACGAACTAAATTGTCGGTATCTCCCTGGACTATACAATATTGCATGTAGCCATGTTTGTCTACCTGAGGCCCACCGCTACCCAACCTCATTCACCGTTACAAGTTGTTATTGGGTATGAACTTGACGTCTCGCATGTACGTGTGTTTGGGTGCGCAGTCTATGTGCCAATAGTGTCGTCACTACGTACCAAAATGGGTCCTCAGAGAAGAATGATAATCTATGTCGTTAGATTCACCATCAAGTCGCTACTTAGAGCTCTTGATAGGAGATCTCTTTATTGCCCGTTTTGCGAATTGAAACTTCGATGAGACAATATTTCTGTTGTTAGGGAAAGATACGCTAACGTTCCTGAAGAATGCCGCAAATTGTTGTGGATTACTCCCACTATGTCTCATTTAGATCCCCGCACTCCCTAGTCTGAAATTGAAGTGCTTCGTATTTTAGATATACAAAGCATTACTTAAAGCATGTCAGATGTTTTTACTGACCTAGCAAAGGTGAAAAATCACATATACCAGTTGCAAATGCACCTGCAAGGATCGACGTACCTATTATACGTCGTAACATTGCCCAAGAAAGATGAGCCATCCCCGAAGGACGGTGGGCCGCACTTTCCACGCGGCCTAGTGCATTGACGGCTAGCCAATCATTTGTCCCTACCTTGAAACGTGGAAAACCCCTTGGTTCAAAAGATTCACAACCTCGAGAGAAGAAAACTGCACAAACTAGTGACCGTAGTATGAATCTGACCATCATTTACTTAAGCATTCCAATGCATGAGTTTATTCTAGATTACGGTGATGTCTTATAGACAAGATCTTTTGAAAATCATGAGATTTCGGTCCATTATGCAGTTTTGGATGGGGTTTGGAATCAGACTGAGAGATTGGCGACGCATTTCCATACACAATAGCTACTGACATCATGCTTAGCGATGACATTGAACCACGTTTCATTGATGAGTGTCAATGTAGAACTGATTGTTCAAATTGGAAACAAACAATCTAGGTCGAACTCGATTTGCTTGCAAAACGCATGATGTTTGGACCCATAGTTCCGACACCACCACATGTGATGCCCATTGGCTACATGTGGGTTTTTGTGAGGAGGCGTAATGAGAAAAATGAAATAGTGCAACATAAGGCACGCCTAGTAGCTCAAGGCTTCTTTCAATGCCTTGAGATTGATTACGAGAAGACATATTCTCCCCTAATGGATGTCATTACGTTCTAGTACCTTATCAATTTGGTAATTTTAGAAAAACTAAATATGCAACTTATAGACATGGTAACCGCTTATCTCTATGGGGATCTTAATACGAAAATCTACATGAAAGTTCCGTAGATCTTACATTGACTAGATCAAATAGTTTTAAACCATGAAATACCTTCTCGATTCAATTGAGGAGATCACTCTATAGATTGAAACAATTTGGATGAATGTGGTGTAACTGTCTGAGTGAGTATTAAATAAGTCAGGTTATATGAACAATGAACTATGCCCATGTGTGTTTATTAAGAAGTCACATTTTGGATTTGCGATCATTGCAGTTTATGTCGATGACATGAATCTCATTGGGACTCTCAAAGAGCTTGAGAAAACTACCACTCATTTGAAATCGCAATTCGAGTTGAAAGATCTTAGGAAAACTCGATATTGCCTCGACCTAGAGATCGAGCACTGTTCGGATGGAATCCTAATACATCAATCGAACTATACCCAAAAGGTGATGCGACATTTTAATGAGGATAAAACAAAGAAGCATTTGAGTACTCCTATGGTCGTTCTTTAGATGCAAAACGAGATCTTTTTGGTCCTAAGGAGGTTGAGAGATTTTGGAGCCCGAAGTTCCATACATAATAGGAATCTTATGGCATTAATCTTTTCTCATACTTTGCTCAATGCACTAGACCTGACATCTCATTCGTTGTGAATCTTTTGGCAAGATACATTAATGCATCCACACGCAGACACTAGAATGGTATTAAAGACATTTTCCGCTACCTCAAGGGTACGAAGAATTTGGTCGAGTTTGAATTGATGAAGGACTCTTGAATTTCAAGTATGGATACGGCTAAGTCCTAGTTCAATCAGGAATCCTCAACAATCTGGACGACATGAGAATATTCTTGATATTTTAAAGGTTTAGTTAAAATAGAAAATGAATTGGATACCAAAAGATGGACAGGTTTAGAGTCTCAAGCCTAGTATGAGTGATTGAGTTCAATTTGTATAAGATATTTCATTCAAGATATCCCAAGGAAATTTAATCCGAATATGACTCTACTTCCGCACCAGGAAAAGTTGCTACCATAAATAGAAGAGGGTGTGCAATATTCAAGGTCTCTTCAATCAACACACAGATATGCCTTGTGCAAACTCTTGCTTTATGTGAAACCCTCTCATTCTTGAGAAAACACTGACCTTTCTAACTACGTCAAACACATCTTTAGTTAGTCTTAATAGCATTGTGGTTGGCAACTGGTGACACCTTCAGTTAGTCTTAACAACATTACTTCGAGACCAACTGGTTATTTATCCAAGTCTCGGTTAGCAAGGAATCTTTGAGTCATTTTTGGAAGAAGTAACTTCATTAGCCTTCTTGGCGAAGTGAGATATTACCAGGTTACATCGTTTGGAACATTGAAAGCCGAACCTATTTTACGATTGAATATTCACAAGTATATTTCAGAGTTCGGCATGTCGACGATCGAATAACATTTACAATCAAGACACTTAAATATTTGTGTCAATACAGTCTAATACTGATTTGGTGCACTTATATTTGCACATATATAATTACAGCGACTGAGCTCGGTGTCGATGATTCGTGAACTTCAAAGAAACTAGCAACCTTTTCTTCAAGCTCTAGAACCCAAAGGCCAAGATGAGTTTTTTCCTCAGCTGCAATCTCAAGACACAAAAGTCAGCAGCGCGTTCGATACCACCACAACCACATTCATTCACTCACTGATCGAGCTCGGTTGTCGAGTTGGCATGCCCCGCATTCAACCTAATGACGCGATTAGCTCATTAGCTATTCAGCCTGCGCACCATGTATGGCTAAGTAGTTTTTAGGGTCATCAAATAGAGAAAGAGTCAAGTGAGAGATTATGAGAGTAGTGTTCTTATACCTCAAGAAAGATAATAATACTATTTCCACTTCCAGTTTGGAGAGATCTTTTATGTTATCGAAACACAACTCGGTATATCATGTGTCATAAAATAATTAGAGAAAAGTTTTATTTTTCAATTGCACCTCCACTTCCACTTGTGTGTTGAGTAATATTCCAAGTACACTGAAAAATCTCTCATGAGATTGAATGTGCACCGTGATGGTGATTGGTCGAGGGGTAGACTTTTGTATGCCTACCACATGATGCATGTAAGTGGCGAGACGTGCATTATTCTCTTTGGGCCTTGGGTGCTTTTGCTCAACAAAATATTTGTTGGATCCTAAGGTAAATATTAATTTCATGAAATAAAGTATATGTGTAGACAAAATGTTTGTTAGCAGAGTGAAAACATTAGCGAGTTAAATAGTTACTAAGAAAAGGACGATAATTGGTAAAGATCAAACCTGCATCATAATGCATATGTTGGAAATATGCCCTGAAAGTCAATCTTTGGAAGAAACTTTTCAGGACAAATGAATCGATGTATGGATGACTCTTATACATCAAATGGCAAAGATACTAATTAGGACTATCTCAATAAACGATATATGTCCTAATTAATGAATCCATGGACAATGGATCGATTGAAGAAGTAATCTAATGATGTTAGACTACAGAGAACTTCTTCACATAACCATTATGTCCAAAAAGGTTCCTAGTCATTGGATTGTCGGAGGGACACTGACAATGCTTAGACCGGTACATACTGTGTCCGCTTCAAATGGAAGAATGGAAAGTCTCATCCCATTTGTGTAGTGACACTAAGACAAGTATGTAGGTGCTCATTAAGGGAATGAGTTCACTGAACACAATCGAACGAGAGTACTTGCATGGAGGTCTACTCACATGTCAAGCAAGTAACTCTAATGGTTGGAATAATGTAAGTAGTCCTTTGACCTAAGGCATCGTCGTTGTCTTGTGGCTAAGTACTTAATCTTTGATTATGTCGAAGTCACCCCATTCGCGGATGTCCACGGCATAATTGGAGTTAAGCCACTTAGTCATGAAGGCAAGTGAATGTGCAACAAGGAATCTCTAATCCTCAATTAGAGAGGAAGAATACTCTAAGATATGATTCGGGAATCTTCGGCCGAAGTATCGAGCGTAATAAAGGAAAGCGTTCCTATACGACTCAATTGAATCATATAAGAAGGAATAATCACATTAGGGGTTTGACATTATATATCCATACCCTAGTAATGTGATTGAGAGTATTGTTTTAGAGAATGATCGAATTACATTGTAATTCCAACTGAATAGGTTCTCCGAACAACTTCTACATTAGCTTGGGTAGCTATGACATATGGTTAGATGTCACTCATAGCTTGTGAGTTCTTCTAGATGATTAAATGTAGTCATCAAAGAAGAAAGGTGAATTAAAAGGAAGTTTTAATTCACTAAGTGATTGGATTAAATATAATCAATTGGATTGATGTCAATCACCTCACTGCCTTGCTAATTAGAACCTAAAATGATTGTACACCGATACACTCTTGTAGTGAGTAATTAATGGATGATGGAAATAATTAATTGGATAAATTAAGTGTTGTGATTAATTTAGAAAGTCTAAAGAAATCATAAAAGCGATAAAAGATCGTTTTGGGCTTAAAGAAACGTTCGGGTTTAATTGGGCCCATTGGGCCTAAACCCATTGTTCTTTTATTCAAGCATTAGATGACTAGAAATAAATAAAAGCCCAAAGCCCAAACCAACACAAAGGGGCCGGCCCTTTAAAGTGGAGAGGGAGAGATATTTAGTCAAGTTGTTGACTAGGTTTCTTTTTGTCTATATAAGGAACTTTATAGAGATTTAATCCTTAGGGTTTTTTGTGTGTTTTAAAACAACAAAGAGGCAAAAGAAACATCTCTCTAAAACCACAAAGGCCGGCCACCTTGAGGGTGATTTAGCTAACAATCTTTCACCCTTTTGGTTATTCCTCCATCCATCTCACTACACTAGTGTGTGTGGATATTTAGAGGTCTTCTCCTTTGGAGACTAAAGGAGAACCTTGGAGCACTCTTACTAACAAAGTGGAGGAGGCAAGGAGGGAGGCTAGGCTCAAGGACTTCAAGGAGCAAATGACTTGGAGGTGGTCCATCCTTGGTCTAAAATCAAGATCAAGAGGTATAGATCTATTCTTTCACTTAGTTCTTTACTTGAATGTTTTAGATGCATTATATATAAACCTATGAACCTTGAAGGGGATTTGCATAACGATAGCTTTGATATTATTTGATAAATTGCTTCCGTTGCTCATGTATATAAATTTTGAAAATTGTATATGCATGCTAGTCATTTAGAAATCCCATGTGTTAAACTCATATTTTTCCCTTCAGCATATACATTTTTGTTTTCTGCCACAACAGTAAAACGTCATCTGCATGCATAGAGAAATTGTTGAATGTAAAACGAATGTTTATGTTTCTATTTTCTTCTGATATAACGCTATATCACACCAAATGGTGAGACAGTTAGACTAAGCCACACTCCATGAGCCAACTCTAACAATTTGTCATCAAAATTCGTTATTTATGAAAGCCGAATTTAAAGCCTCTTAGGCCATTTTTAGTTATGAAGGGGAAAGCATAGTCCGAGCTATAGTTGGGCTCATTTAGTCGATCTAAGTTGGAAGTTGGTACCATAGCCAATGGTTCGGCTTAAATTCTCTCACTCGAAAGCACCCGACCAATGCTCATATGACGATGCGCATAACAGTTGCCAACATAACATCAAAGAAACAACATCCAATAAATATATGGTATGTTAAATGGTAAATCTCGTCAAATTACACTGAGGTCATTTGAGTTAAAATTGTACATTATATTGGGTTCATTTTTATTTTAATGGGCAACTATGATCATCTCCAAAAGAAATGTCAAATTTCAATTGATGGCTGGTATGGCAATCTGAAGTCTTATGTCAAATTTTGCACTTCTCTAATCAAATTGTCAAATGTTATTTTATTATTTTAAATAGAATTTTAAATGGTTGTAATTATTGAAAAAAATGTTGAAACAAACTTTTATTGGTTGAAATGTTAGTAGAATAAAGGACCTACCATTAAAATGAAGTAAAAAAATTTGACAATGATGTCAAATTTGACTCCAAACTACAGAGTCTTCAAATCCAATCAGTAAATAACACTTCGATTAAAAAGACTTGATGTCAAATATGCATAATGGCATTCCACTTAAATTTTTGACATCTCCTTTGGAGATGCTCTAAATATGTGTGCCAACCCACAATAGTAGGGGTGGGCACGGACTGGGCGGGGCCCAAATTTGAAGGGACTGGACCGGACCGGACCCGCTTAAAAAGGAAACAGAACAAGCCAGATCGGGTATTGCAAATCTGATCACTGGAACTGGACCTAACCCAGCTCGTTTTAGTTCGGGACTAGTCCATGTTTTTTTTCTCCTGGTTTTGATCGCCTCCCGGACTTTCTCATCCTCCAGATCTTCGACTCAGACTGCGACTGTTCAACATCAAAACCCTCATCCGCTGGCCGTTTCCAAGCGATTCAACTCGCTCGTCCCCCACACAGACTCAAATCGCTCCAGGACCTCATCGCCTTCCTCAACATCCTCAAATCGCTCCAGGACATTGTCTCAGCCAAGCCCGACCTAACCCAAATCTTCCGCTCACTCCGCTGCGTCCGAAACCTCTCAATCAAGCTCCCATCAAAGCTGCAAAATCGAAGACAGAGGCGTACGAAGAAAGTGAGAGTTAATCGATAAACCTTGAAATTTTAAATAGTGTTTAAATGAAATTACTTGAAATTATCGTCAGCTCAAGCACGAGATTGGAGGAAAGAGAGAAGGGCATGGACGATATCTTGTGGCGCAACTGGTGATGCTTTATGGACAATGGTTTGTGGCGCAGATGGTTTACGGCGGGCGAGCTGGGTATATGGTTGGTTATGATTTGTGAAGGTTTAGAGCAGGTGAGATGAGTGGAAGAGAGAGAGAGACTGTAGGAGAGAAAGATCAAGAGAGAAAAGATTGAGAGGGAAGAGATCAAGAGAGAGTACATCGAGAGAGCAAAAAGATCGAGGGAGGAGACAATAGAAGGTGAGGGTCGAACTAGGTCTGTGAATAAGAGAGAAAGGGTAATAAACAATAGAGGGTAATCACAGTAGGCAATGAACGGTCCAAGTCCAGGGCCTGTTTTCTCCAATCTTTAGAACCGGCCCGTCCCGTTATTTATCAAGAACTGGCCAGCCCTGCCCCATTTTGTATTTGTAATTTTTGGACCTGCATAGTACCTACCCCGAACCTCAAAGATCCGCCCCGACCAGCGAGTCCAGGACCTGTTTGCCCACCCCTACACAACAGCTTTAGGAAACGGCGAATAATATTACTCAAAATTTGCCGCACACGTACAATGAAATTGATTTTTGCACGCCCCCATTTTCGCTTATTGCACATCGTTATATTTTTCTAGCCATTGGATTGAAAGAAAAATCAAAATATGAATGGGCAAAATTAAATGGTGGCATGGAAACGGCGAAAATGTAGAAGGCCAAGAATTCAATCAAGTAAAGCAACCTCAGAACCAAAATTGCCTAAAACTCTCTTTCAACCATTCATATAGTACAAAGAAACCTTACAAAACCCCAAGTCTACTGATTCATGATCCATAAAACAACATATAAAATTTTGTTTTCCCATCGTTAGCAGCAATCTTCTCTAAGCCTCTCTGCGGACAAAGTAGAGCTTACCCATGACATGAAGAACGGCAACAAAGGCGATGAAACCAATGCTCATGATGAGGACAACATTCGGGGAGATCTTGAGTCCCGGGGCATCATCTGTGTAAAACTGGAGCATAGTCCCTGCTGCACCTCCTGAAGCACCACCACTTGTCGTCTTCCTTCTCCTCATGCTCGCAGTAGCTGCTGCACTTCCTCTTGGGGGAGCTGCTCCACCGCCTAGAACCATTTTCTATAACACCAAATCGAATTACAATCTCAATTCAACATACATGATACAAAACTAAAAGAATAAGAAATTTAAAACAGGGAAAAAGAAAACTTATAACAGAAAAGTTTAGCCATATTCAACTCTCTGTGAAACAAAAAAATTATAGCTACTAATTAGAAAAAAAAATAAAAAAAAATAAAAATAAAAAGCAACATAGATTGATTCTACTCGTGCTGTCGTGCAAAATCGAAGATTGTAGTATAATTGAAGTTGGGCACCACAAGCAAAAATGACATTGGATTTGATTAGTCACTGAATTAAAGACCCAATCAATGACAAACAAAGTGTTATTTGTTGACTTATTTGAAGGCTTTGCGATTAAGAGTCAAATTTGACATCAATGTCAAATTTATTTTTAATTCATTTTAATGCTGAATCCCTTGTTCCACTAATATTTCAACTAATAAAAAATTTTATTTCAACATTTTTTTATAATTACAACCATTTAAAGCCCTATTTATATAAGAAAATAAAATTTGACAGTTCAAGAAGTACAAAATTTAACATAAGATTTTAGATTGTCATATCAGCCATCAATTGTAATTTGACTCTTATAATTTAAGATTTCTTTTTGGAGATGCTCTAAATATCTAGAGTCTAAATTAAAAGCACTCATAAGCGATTCAAAACAAAAAGAAATGATAACAACATCAGAGATCTACAGAATTGCCGAATCCAAATGAAAAATCAAATTAAAGAAGCATCAAAATATTATTTAGATTGCAAATTATCCATATCAATCAATTTATAATTCAAATTACCAAAATAATTAGAAAATGAATCGAAAAGTCATCCGATTACACAGAAATTAACAGACCCTAATACTCAATTGACCCATGAAAATTTTGAATTATGCACAAAAAATCAGATCCGAGAATCAGATCCAAGATACAATTACGAAAGCAATACAAAAGAATTCGCAAAATTAAATCAGCATAAAAATATAAAATTGAAGATTGCATGCAGCGGATCTACGATCGTACACGAAGAAATGGAAGGAGAGGGAGAGGGAGACGAACCTGAGTCGACTCGGTGGAAAGAACGAGTAGGAATGCTGAGGTTTATCGAAGCTGCTGCTTTTGAGAGTTTGAAGATCCGGAGAACGTTTATTTTGATTCCGACGGGACGAAAACTCCGTTTTATTTGGGGAGTGCAAACGCGTCGGGGGTTCTTTTTGTCTACGTGGCTTACTGGTTGACACTTCCACGCCGATTCTTCCAATAAGTTTCTGCCACGTGGAAGGCCAATACGAGTGGCCTTATTTTATTTTATTATTATTTGTAATTTTACACGTCAAATTTGAATAGGAAAATTCAGGTGAGAGAAGGTGTACACGAACAATGGCTAGTAGTGTGGACGTTTTCACGAAAAGACAACTCTAGGTACTTTTCAGTTCAAATGTTTTAAAGAAAATTGTAGCAATAATTTCCCACCCAAATATTACCTTTTCTTGCAAACGTTGTTAATTGGGTCGGGTGGAGGGGTTTCACAGGGTGCTAGGCAGTTTTTTCAGCTGGGTGCTGGGCAAAATGCCCTCCGCTGGAACTGCTCTTATAGCACGGTCAGTTAAGAGTCCATACACCCGAAGTCCTCCGTCCCACAGCCACTCCCCTGATATCACTTGTACGAGAAAATTTCCATGAAAAGATGAAAGATTTTCAAATGGATAGCATCCGCAACAAAATAAAGGGACGGTTACGAAAATACTCAAGAAGCAACTTCCATCGATACGAATGGGACATCATCAACTACTAGTGTAGTCTCAAAGTTGAAGAAACTCCAACGTCAAATGAGTTGAGACATTAACACAAGGACGAATAAAAAATGAACCACATAACAGGTTATGTCACTACACTTTGAGGTAAAAGAAGTTCATTCCTAGTACATGTTACATATCGACAACGTCGAAAGAGGAGATAAACTCTACCCGTGTGTTTGCTTACTCTAACTCATAGCAAGTCAGTACAGCTACTTAAAATGACAAAACCAGCACGTCTAACCTTACTGAATATTAGAGAAACAGGACTAGTCTTAAATAACACCCACAACTTGATGCTCAACTGCAGGCGGCATGGTTTCTGTGGGCGAGGAAGCAAATGACCCTCGGCTATCACATCGCTCAACATCTACACAAGATTACAATCTAATCTATTTTCTGTGTCGATCCAAACACTCAACAGCTGCCCAGTCAATATGAGGATGCCCATTGAACTAAAAGTCGACACTCCCATCATCAAGCAGTCAAAGTTAAGGCTTTAATCTCTTGAAAAACCTACCACCTTTCGTTCCCACTCCAGCCTCGGCAAGACTTGCTGACAAGAGAGCTTTGGAATTCGGTCGCCATGCCAACTCCTTAAGGACAGAAAATAAGGTTGCCAAGGCAGGAGTAATTTCACTGTCCGTTACACTGTTACATGACACAACTCTAAGCCTCTGAAGCTCTTTCCAGCAAAGGAGTACTGACTCGAGACCTCCTGTTGTCAGCAGCGAGCATCCTTCTAAAGCAACCAGCTTCACCCTCCTATGTGATGAAAAAGGGCAAAAATATTAACAACGATCACACTTGACAATAATTAATGGTTGTTCTTTAACATCAATCTCAAGCTAGATTATAACAGTAAGAATGATGGCTACTCATACATACAACTGGGGAGAAAAGAAACAAAGAACCTCCAATAATGAATGTAAACGGTCCTTATTCACAAGTTCTATCCACATATTTACGGAAAAAGAACTCTTCAAAAGGAAGAAAATGAAGGTCCTAATCACAAAATTCATAGAATCAAAAGAAACTCAAACTGATCTCTGCTTGCAACAAACAGATTTTAGTTCAATATCAATACTCAGCCGTAAAGTCATACATCTGTGGAGACGTGAAAGAAGGCAATAACAAGACAACTAGTTTTTCTAAATATCACGACACTACAATTTTGTAAATCGATCGAGAGGAAATGTTTTTGAATGTGCACAAATCAAAACTTTTTTTAGCACAGCACAAATCAAAACTAAATTTTCCAAATTGTTACTGTCTTATTTTGCTAGCAAAACCAGTCCACATGCAACCTTCAAGCAACTCTACATATCTCCTTTATCTGACATAATACCAAATGGATATAATCTCTGGAACATCACCTTTTATCACCCAATTTTTTCGGAAGCTCACAGCAATCCATGTAATGCATATTATATGACCATTGGCAATTTCATTTCCAAGAATAGTGGACACCACAGCCATAATGTGTCTATATCCAAGTTCCAACTTGCTGAAAACTTATTTGACTTTCATTTTTTTTCTAAGTCTCCTATTTCTCTTTATGGAAATCCTAATGCGTGGAATTCGAAATAAATTGCAGCACCTCTTGTAGTGGGATAAGCTCTAACCACATAATTACATATTTATAACAAATTGGTATTCCCAACTCATTCAACAAACATATATTCATTAAACCTATGAGGATCAAGTTCCTACATCAAACACCAGGGGGATACGGAGGCCACACAAATATGGTGTAGGCTTTGATTTGCGTAATTATTGTTTACTAAAAGCTAATCACATTTCAATCTCTACTTCCTTAGTTAACCTTGGATGATTGCATTAAATAAAGCCTACAACTTAGCAAATAAGACAAAGGTAGGACTGGATAGTGGACTCCACAAGAATTTAGATGGGCCATTCTAAGGCAGTTCTAGCCTTAGAGGCAGAGCATTCTCACAAGTTCATTTCTGATCTTTGTCTGGAAGTGTTGCAATAAATGCATGCCATTAGTTAGGAACGGGTGTGTTTCAAAAGCATTCGAAGAAGAAAATTGCCCTACCCAATCACCACGGGTGGGATCTCGATTATACCGGACTCACTTTCCTAAAGGAAAGAAATTATACCACAAGACACTTCTTAGGCTGGTATTTCCATTAACGCGAAGCCTCAAAATGTTATTACCACTGAAATATTAAATTAGTCAGGTACGCTCACTACAGAAGAACTACAGACCTAAAAACCAATTAACCATGTTTAACTATTTGCATATTTAGGACAATATTTCTTCCATTTAGTACAAACCAAATAATATATGGGTATACAGTACAACCATCTCCTATGGCATACTCAGAAAGGATTTATCGTACATAAGAGTTTCTTTCTTTTATAGATAACCACTTTCCCAAAGACCAACGTAAAGGTCAGACATAACACAAATCTAATCACAGGTTTATTTCAACATATCTCAGGCCACAAACGGATATTTTTTTCTTTTTTTTTGAGAAGAAGGCCACAAACAGATATAAAACACAGATGGGAAGAAAAAAAAAATCTGTACCTACAAATACTCGCAAATGCAAATACTTCATCCACCAATCCCCAACAATCCTGCAGAACAATATCCCTAACAGCCTCACACACCGTGAACAATGCTCTCACACCATGCTGATCCCGCACTTGACAGCGCCGCAAATGCAACTCCTCAATGGTGGGACAAGACCCCAAATGCTCATCAGGTCCCGGGCTCGTGTCAATGCTCTTGCAAGACTGAAGCATCAAAGTTTTCAAATTCCCACAAAAGGGCAGAGCAGCCAACCACCCACCATCCATCCTATGATCATTGAGAGTCAATTCCTCAAGCATTTGGCAGCACTGCCCAATCGCCTTAATCCCATCGTAGCTCCCTTCACACCCACAGAGCTCAAGCTTCACTAACCTCCTACAACCCTGAGCTAAAATCGTCAACCCAATATCCGAAATCACCGCACTATAAAATCCGTCAACAGAACCAATCAATTTCACAATCTGCAAGTTCCTACACCCACTAATCCCCTTCAAAGCCAAGTCCCCACAACAATGCAGCTCCAATTCCTGCAATGTCTGGCACTCCTCAGCGATCCTAACCAACCCATTTTCGCTGGCTCCGATAACCACGATTCGCCGCAAATTCGGGTACGATTGCGCAATCAATCTCAGCCCATGGTCCACCACACTGTTCTTCAACACATCGCTCTCCTCAGTAAACCCATTGGGGCTGAAGAGCGAGTCGATATGAACAGTCAAAGCCTTCCTGGTCACCAGAATCCCTGAATTCCTCGGGGACCGAATGCAGGCATGGACAATATCGACATCGTCCAGATTCGGGAACCGGGCGAAAACCCGACCCGAGTCCAAAAACCCCCAATCGAAAAGCTTCACGGAAGTCACCAGCCTGCCGTGGAGGTACAGCCAGCGCTTGCAGACGAGGGAGTTGGGGAGATACCGGGAAATCGGGAGCTTGGAGAAGATACAGAGGAGAAGCTCATCGGAGAGGAGGGAGGTGGAATCGGGGGCGGGCGGGTCTAGGGTGAGGGAATTGAAGGCGGGGGAGAGGTCCGGCTCAGCGTGAGGAGACGGCGAGGCGGTGGACGGAGAGAGTAAGTTGAAGTGGTTCTGCAGCTGCATCTTCATGATAACATGCTGGAGAGTTCGGTCCGGGAGGCTCAATGGCCGCGGCCGTTTGGGCAGAACTGGCGGTGGTGATACTTTTGGGCTTCCGGATTTTCTGTCTGGTGAAATGGGTGACATTTATTAAAAGTTTTTTTGGTAGATAGAGAGGAACAAGACAAAAAGAAATAAACCCTAATTGGGATTTAGGGTTTGTGAAAATCTAATCTTTTTTGGTTTAGGATTTCTGAAAATCTAATATTTTTCTTAATTTCCTGTCTCTCTCTCTTTCTCCCTCTAGATTCTGGTAAAGATTGCAACTTTATTACAACGAAACAACGAAATTTAGTAAAAAAAGCTTCAAAAGTACTTAAAAAAAACACAGACGAGACACGAGCTTCAACATAAATGCCAAGACTAGTATTTCACTAGATCTTGAAAAAGATTGAGTTTTGGATAAATATAGTATGTGTAAATGTTAAAGTAAATAGTGAGAAAATGACTCCTTTATTCATTATAAATGAATCTACCGTAAATACAGATGAATCTACAATAAGGTAGAGATAGGTGTGCGTGAATTGGCTAAAAATAAAACTTCGATAACGTGGAGGTTTCTCATTGGATGATTAGGGTGTTATGCGTGGAGGATGCGTTGTGTTTTTGCTGTTTTTGGCTTGGAATGATTAACAAATGAGGGGTTTCGGAGACGAAACA